AACCAACTGGAGAAATTTAGTCCACACTGTGAACACACATTTTGATGGAGGTAACCTGGAAAAAAGGCTTTTTTTTCTTTTCCAGCAGCAGTGCAGGTAACAGGGCCCGGGCCTGGCTCCACTGCAGGCCTGTGGGCCTGGCAGGGGACAGGGCCGGGCCCCCTTGTCTGGGGAGCTGGCATGGAGGAGAGGTGGCCATGGGCAAGGCCGAGCCCCTGTCTGGGGAGGTGGCATGGAGGAGAGGTGGCCATGGGCAAGGCCGAGGCCCTGTCTGGGGAGCTGGCATGGAGGAGAGGTGGCCATGGGCAAGGCCGAGGCCCTGTCTGGGGAGCTGGCATGGAGGAGAGGGGGCCATGGGGCAAGGCCGGGCCCCTGTCTGGGGAGCTGGCATGGAGGAGAGGGGGCCATGGGCAAGGCCGGGCCCCTGTCTGGGGAGCTGGCATGGAGGAGAGGTGGCCATGGGCAAGGGTGGGCCCCCCTGTCTGGGGAGCTGGCATGGCCCAGCAGGGAAGAAGGGTGGCCATGGACAGCGGGTGCTGTAGCTGAGCCCCAGGGAGGCTGAGTGAGTTCCCAGCTACTCCCCTTCCTCCCCCTTTCCAGCGCAGCCTGAGTTTCCGAGATCCTGGCACAGCTCCACCATTGCAGCCTTGCTTTCCCCGTGTGAAATCTTAACTCTTTCAATGCTCAGATAAGAGCATTGCAGACTTTTCAATACTCCCCGGAGTGAGAAGGGAAAAATAAAAGAGCTAAAGTTTCTTTAGATGGAAGGAGAATGAGGAGATTATGTGAAGATGGCTGTAAAATCCTTTTGTAAGATTGTAGAGATGAACTGATATTGCACTGAATATTCCTATAAACCATGGAGAAAGACATGGAGGGTTGGAGATGTTCCATTTGATAGACTGTTAATCAAAAGCATCTATGTTGACAATCCTTTGCCCCGAGGAGAAAAGGGGATCTCTATTTCTGGAGATGAAGCATGAACAGAGAGAAAGAGAGATGAAGAGAATTTTTGTTTTGGAACAGTTAATTCTTAAAAATAAATACCCCATGAGTTTAACATGGCCCATAAGCACAGCTTTGGGAAAGCTGTGAAAATGGGAGGAGCTTCCTGACTTGCAAGTTCTTTCCCGGGTGGATACAAATTGTGAAAGTGAAACCACGAGAGAAATGGTTTTTTCCCCTCCTTGTGGAGAAGTTCCTGTGGCATGACAAGAAGAAACTTCTCTCTCCGAAGTGAGCTGAATAGGATTATTTAAGTGGGGAACTGACTGAAGTGTCTTTGTGTGCTGTTCTTAAGAAGGAATGGGAAGAGGGAGGAGGGAGTGGTCTGAAAATCTTATTCTGAATTTGTTTCTTTCTTTCTTTGTCTAGTTAATAAATTTATTGTTATACCCCTTTTAAGTTTTAGGCCTGCCTTGCTCTTTTACTCCTGGTTCTGTCTCACAACAGGAAAATGACTATATTTAAATTGGCAAGTCAAAACTTTGACATTATTTGGTGCATTGGCAGGGAAATTCAAATTCAACCAAGACACCAGGCAATGGTATATCATATCCATGCGGCTTCACTCCCTTTTTATAGATTTGGGAGATCTTGCTCATTGATTGTACTGCAAGCTTCAAGTCCTTCTGTAAATCCTGATCAAAACCCCACCCAGACAAACACAGTTTTTAAAAGTTTGAACTAAATTCAGGAAACTTCTGCCAGCTCTGAAATTTTCATTTTTCATTGTGCTCACTACACCTATCTTCCACCTTCTTTCCCTTCTTGAGGTTTACCAGCACAGAAATGAGCTAAGCTGGAATCAATATGACCAGAATTATACTCTTGGAAACAATGCCAGATTCAATCAAGAAGGGTTACTCTAAGGATGAGATATAAAGCTCTGTTTCCCAGATATATATTCAATAGAATGACCTCTCTCCCTGACCTGTCTGTCCATGTCATGCTGACAGATCCTATCTTCCACTGATACAGACCCATGGAAACTGCAATTTGTCAACAAGTCCCTGGGCTGTCCAGATCTGGAATGGATTTCTATGATATAGTTTCTCTTCTGGCTATAAGATGGGAACAGGCTAAATCCCCGGAATTATGTGGGCCTCAGTCACCTCATCAAGCTTTATCCCTTGTTTCTCATTCCATAGGTGTCTAGCCCCTTGACCGAATGATGAACCAGGAGAAAAATGTGTATTTTTTACTAGACATCTATTTATATTTACAGATTCTTCAGCAACCAGATTAGTTAAATTACTATAGCTATATTCATTGGTGCTAGAAGCAGTAATGATAATTATTAAAATGTTTTATTTAAAAAAACAACTATGTTTTCAGCCTTGAAGCTGAAAAACATCAGCTAATCATCCTGAAATTGTTTGTGCCAGGTGTCCTCCTCATGGTGAACTAGCTCTTAAAATTTTGCTGAAGCAGTTAATCATCTCCTGAGGGCAAGATTTAAGAAAAATACCATGCTTTGAAATGAACTATCACCATTAATAACTTTAACGTTGTCTCTGTAATTTGGCAGGAAACTGGAGTCCAAAACCAAACTTTTCTTGCTTTTTAAAGAAATCCAGCCAAATTTGGCCAAGTTGCTAACCTCCAGCCACAAAGATATTGGAAGGAAGTTTTCCTGCATTATTTAATTCTCCTGAGTATTCTCCATTTCTCACAGCTCTTAGCAGTCTTGTTTCATTACAGAGCATAGCATGTCTCCCCTGCAGTTATTCTTCCTTATAGGATGGAGAAAGCATACCTTTAGTCTTAGAAAAGAAAAAAAAAAAAAAAAAAAAAAAAAAAAAAAAAAAANAAAGAAAGAAAGAAAGAAAAAGTGGAACAAAGGAGGAGCAAAGTGGGGTAAGACTAGAAATTCATACAGAAAAAGAATGAGCAATTTTTAATTTGAGTATGCTTGAACTGACACCGTTATTATATTGATGACCTTGCAATTATTTAACATAAGAATGTTTTAGTTCATGTGGATTTTTTCTTCCTCTTAGGTAATGAATGTATAAATCTTCATTGAAACTGCATCTCTGAGCAATCATTTGCTTAGAACTGCAGCATCTTTAACAAAATTTTAAAAATTCTTCCTTCAGCTCAAACAAGGCATAGCAAGGAAAAAAAAAGTCATTATGAAGTCCAAAATAAACCGAAATAGTCTTCTATTCAGGCAATCAATTTCTCAATGGTGCCCAATAGACATATTGAATCATGCATTTTGCTTACACAGCAGCCCAGAGAAAAACAAGAACCATATTGCTACCCATCCCTTTTTGCAAAAGGTTGACAATTATAGCTCTTGGAAAATGGTAACCATCTTTCATTGTGTCAGTAAGTATTACTCAGGTTGGCATACAACCTCCCTGCTTACCTTCACAATATTCTTAATTAAATTAAGATTGTACCTGGAGCATAGAGGCCTGATCATTGCAAATTCTACAAAGTTTGTAACTCGATGCAAAAGGTGATGGTGAGGAATTCTGAGCTCTGTGTTATGCAGGTACATGCTCTGTGCAGATTTACCTCCAGGCTGGAATGAACCAATTTTCTGTTTAATCTCAAATCCTGTTTCTCACCATATTCAGCCTTACACATAGATGGAATAAATGCAATGAGGTGGTGTCATAATTTAATCATAAAAGGCATTTTCTTAGGTATGAGAGAATGTGCTTGTATCTGGAGTCACAGGACTTTATTTCCCTAATAAAGATAAATGGGATTTTGGGTGCATGAAGCTAGAAATCAGAAAAGAACAAAATAAACACAACAAAAACAAAGCACTAAGATGAGTCTTGTGGCAGACAGCAGCAATTAGGACTTTTCACATCCTATAATGTAGCCTTTCACAAGGCCATCTCAAAGTACTGTTTTGCCTTTTCATAAGGATGTTTGCAAAGTGACTTGAATAAATCATGATATACAAATATAAATAAAAGCAAAGCCTGGGATTTCTGACCTAGAATTTGAATAGGCATCATACATGCAATTTGTACAATTCATTTATTCAGATTTATGTCCAAATACTGAAAAGAAAGGACAGTCTATTGGCTGGGAAGGTGGGTTAACATTTAGAAGCTCACAGGATTTGCTCTGTTTTGCTGTGGACTTCCTGCATGTTATTGGATGAGATCTCGAAGTGTAGAAAGTACCTTAAGTGGCAGGCATGACAGCCCTTATGATAAGCATTTAAGCTTTACTTGATGCACACATTAGTCATCATTCTGAGCACCCTTCCATTTAGCAGGCTGGCAGGTCAAATGCCAAGAGGTAGCCAATATGGAAATTTCAGAAAAAATGATCCTTGCTTCAGAAGTCAGTGAAAAAAACTGTCTTGTTTCCCTCTAGGCTTGTACAGTTCCTCAAAATACAGACACACTTCCCACATATTCTACAAGAACAATAAGTACACAGGGCCATTTAGGGAAGATGAGTTGAAAAACAAATAGATTTTGGATCTAAATATTGCTCAGGTATGAGCTCAGTGATAGGATTACAGCCTGCAAGGACCAAAGCACTCCAAGGCATGCTCAGAAATTAATGTGACTGAGAAATATAAGGGTATGAAAGCAGGTGTGCTTAAAGAGTCAAGTTGCCTCCAGGATTAGATTAATGCTCAACAGGATTTTCTGGGGCCTTAATTCTTTGTAAGTCTTTCTAGTCATCCATTCCAGCCTATAGAATAAAAGTACAGGCACTGTCAAACCAAAGGATTACTGTATTAAAGAGAGGAAATACATGGAAAAATTGATGCATCAGAATTAGGGACATAGCCTACATGAGCAAATGAATCTTGCCAGTCTACTGTGTTAAAATACCTCATGAATTCAGCCTGATCCTTTCACCCTTGAATCTTATCTGTTGGATGCTGCCAGATTATTTTCCTGGTCAGTTATTTGCAGGATCTAAGGAGTCAGACTATATGTATTTTAATGTTTTCATGTTGATTAATGTTTAGTACATTAGCCAATATTTATGGAATTTTCTTTTCTTTGTAGGTCTCAACGGAAGAAGGAATGAGCTTAGCCAGAGAATATTCCTGCTCCTTTTTTGAGACTTCAGCTGCTCTCCGTTTCTACATTGACGATGTTTTTCACGGATTAGTGAGAGAAATTCGAAGGAAAGAGTCCTCACTGTCCATGATAGAGAAGAAGATAAAGAGGAAGGATAGTCTGTGGCGGAAACTGAAGGGATCCCTGAAGAAAAAAAAGGAAAGTACAACCTGATGGCAGTTCTCCATGAACCACTCATCAAGAGCTGACCACAGTAACCTGTAATAGTTCAAAAAGGCAGCATTGACACAGCATCTTCCAGGCCAGGTCCTGGAGTTCCTTCCCTTCAGCTCTCACACAGAAGTTGCTCCTTGAGAGCCCAATTCATGGTTTCCCTGTGACTCTTCTGTTCTATAGTGTCATTTAGCATACCCTCTCATACTTTTTCTGCAACTCTGAGTGGAGAAAATACTGTGTTTTTTTAACATGTGCTCCATGGCTGGTCTTGAAACGCTATGAATTACGCCAGCAGCCAAGGCAGAACCAGCTTACACCAGCTCTAGGGCAATGGATACACTTATTGCCTCCTCCTCTGCATGCACAGGTCATTTCACCATCCCACGAATGAATGACGTTGATGTCAATGGACATTTTGACTGTTTAAGGACTTTGGGATGTGACCTTCAGCTTTGCATTCCCATGTAGGTTTAGGGTTAGATAGAGTGTGCTCGCCTGCACTCCCATGTCTGTGTGTGACTGTGTCTGTGAGCCAGGCCCAAAGGGAACCCTGGGGACTCACCATTCTGACCCCGTGGTACCCCATCCCCGTGGTACCCCATCCCCGTGGTGTCCTCTCCAGTCAGCAGGCAGGTTTGGCAAGCACCAGCCCTGCAGAGGCTACAGGGGTTCTGCTCTGTCTCTTCTGATCTGTACTTGCCAGGGCTGGCTGGCAGAGGTGCCATGTCCTACAGATATGCATGGAAATCCTGCAAGAGTTTGTGCTGGAAAGGAACTTTTGAAGGTCACCTGGTCCAAACACCTGCAATGAACGGGGACACCCTACACTTGATCAAGTTTCTCAGAGCCCTGTTCAGCCTGACCGTGGATGTTTCCAGGGATGGGGCATCCAACACCAGTTGGGGCATCCTGTGCCAGTGCTTCACCATCAGCCACACTCCCCTGTCCCACCAAGGAGCTCACAACTGCTCTGTCAGTCCAATGAGTCCCAGAGCCCTCCCTGGAGCAGTGCAGCTCTGTCCCAGCATGTAATAGCATCTGTGATGTAGCATCCAGCCCTTGACTTACTAGAGAATTGCATCAGCTCACTCACCATTTTCACAGTCCTTGACCATCCAACTGAACTACTTGATAAGCGGTTGGATAAGTCTTTTTAAATATTCCTTTTTAAAGCTAGCATGAAGTAGAGTATACGCTCTTAAACATTTTTCCCTCTGGAGTTCTTTTAATGTTGTTGCTATTTATAAATTTTACAGATAGGATATGCATAAGTTTTGTCAAAAATAAAAATTGTGATTTCCATGGAACCATACTAGTAGTCGGTGTCATTTGTGTCTGAGTGATAATCGATAAAACAAAAAACACATATCTTTGTTATTACTTGTTCCTTTTTCATTTTTCTTCTGTGATTATTTTGCAGAGTTTCAATCAACTATATTTTGCATAATCTGGGTGGGAGTGGACTTGTTTTCCTTTGTAAAAACTTGTAAATGTTATGGTATTGTGAACAACTTTAGTTCATTAAAATCTCATGTTTGGTTCTCCACTCTCCCTTCCTTTCAAGGGAGATATTTTGTAACTTGTCAAAAATCCTTCATCAAAAGTAATGCTTTTCTGAATGTTTTTAGATCCTATGTGGCTATATTTCTTTTTGAGAAAGAATATTTTGGAGTAATACAAACACCTATACCCATTCAATGTAAATTTTTTGTTTCCTGCCTCTGAAAGCTGAAGCCTGCATTTATACCATGGCAATTACTATTATTATTTTATCTATATTGCCACAGAAATTTTAGGTCAAGTGTCCTAGAGACGAAAAGATGCACTTGTCCAAAGGGTTTATGAGCCAAGTATTGGTGGAGGGACAACAAGAGGCTGCACTGAACAGATGGCAGCTATGAGACAATAAATAACAAGGGGAAACATCTGTGTTTGTTCCAATCCTGCACACTGCACAGAGGGGAACGAAGCAGTCATTCCCTGTGTAAGAGACCATAGAAATTACCACCCTGAGAAACCTTGAGGGATAGTCTTTGTTTTTTTCAGGCAGATGACTGAGTTTTGTGTCAATTGAAAAGCATTTAGTGTCTGTTATGTCATTTCACACCCCCCTTACTTAGGGACAAATAATATCAGCATGGACTTGGTTCTGCATTTTTAGGGGTACCTTGGTACAAGACAGTTTGCAAGATAAAGAAAGAAAGCAGAAGCCAGCATAGATACAGTCTAATATTAAGTCTTAAATGGATTAACTTGATTAAATATAACTATTCGCTGGCATTGAGGTCATCTGGCACAGAGCAGCATCTTTGTGTGCTGTTAAACTCTCTTAGCCTTCACAGCAGGGTTACCACACACAAGCTGCTCTTGGAAGTGATTCCTGGACTGTGCCAGGTTCTTCGCCATGCTGATCAATGGGTCAGAAAAGTGCTGCTCTTCTGTAGTCTGAAATCAATATAGGCATCGTTCAAACATTTTGGCAGTATGGATGTGCTCAGCTGTCTCCTGGGATATGTTCAAATTAGTGCTACAGACACAGGTTGCATCATTATATTTTCAGATGTAGCAAGCCCATGAGAACTCCAGGTTCTGCGTGTCTTCACAATCAGCCCCAAAATGATCATTTTGAAAGACATTTGGTACCAGGTTAGTCTCTTCAGGAAGAATGAAGTCTCATACCCTCTGAGGATATTCTGCTCCATCTTCTATGAGCAGTTTCAGGCATTGAATATGTCTTAGGCAGAAAAGTCTATGTTTATCTCCCTCCACTTAGATCATGTTGAACTTGAGGATGACATCCAGTCATTCAGATCCTCTCTTTGGTTAATACAGAGAGTTGTGATTTTGGTGATTTGATTTTTCCCTTATGGCATGGATGGTTAGCACATGGAATCCCCCTTGAACTGGCTGTCTCTTTCCAGTGGCTATATTTCACTTCACAAAAACCAGACCAGTCTCCCATTTTGATGTCTAAATTCAGGTAGGATAAACTCCATCCGTAAAGATTTTTCCACTCAATATCAACAGCAGAGAATAGTTCTGCAAATCCTAGGCATTGTCTCTGAAACACCACACCATCCTTTACTTATAAATTGCAAAAGTAATTCTGATTTACCATGACCCAATTCCTCAATAATCTATAATGCTTAACCTCAGTTAATTGAGCAGTACTGATGGAGGTTAGAGTCAGTGAGGATAACATAAGTCATAACTGCACAAAAGGCTGGGTGCAGCTCCTTTACCTAATTAATCTTTTTGATTCCATCACAGAAGATTGTATTTAGCTGTCAGACCTAGCTGACTGAGAGAATTAAAAAACAGCAGCTCTGTGTCTCAAGACTTTTCTATGTGTGACTATTCTCTCATCTAATCGTGTATGGAAGATTTGAAGAAGGAAACAGATCATTTTATTTTGCTATGTTGCCCACAGTCCCATGAAGGTGGCAGCTATAACTTATTCCACCGTCAGACTATGTTGCAATTGGACCATAATTCAGGTTCCTACAGGAATATAATTAAAGCCAGCTAATAAATAAAATAAAGTAATAACAATTTGCAAAAGTATCCTTGATGTCTCTCAGAAATACATAATATATGGCAGTTAATTACCCTTCTTCACAGCTGTGGCAGATCACGTTGCCTTTAGTTGAGAAGTGATCTGGGGAAGGCTGTAAGTCAAGGTAGAATATTGCAGAACTTAAGTTTTCCTTTGTACGTGGCTTTGGCACACTAGTCTTAGAACTCTTGTGTAGAATCTACCTCTGTTCCCTCAGACTGGCAGTTCATAACTATGCTAGCAGTCTGATGTCTTTACAAATGATTGAAAATAGTTTCTTTATACACCCAAAAAATGCATATTTTGAGACTGACATGTAAGACTGCATAGCTAGAATGAAAAGAACTAGTTATCTTTATCTTGTCCACTAAATATATAATATACAAAAATATATAGGCAATATGCATACACTATAATATATATAGTTGCTGAATGTCTCTTATTTGAAGCTTAGATATTTGAGCCCTCTCTCTATCATGACAGAAAAAACCCCCACAGAAATACAAAACAACAACAAAAGACATGCAGAAAGCAAAAGATGGGGCTCAGCAGTGCTTAGGGTCTCATACTGAAGATTTAAAACCGACAACTCTGTCAAATTCTTCTCCCAGGATGAACATTTCTCTTGGTGGCCCAGATGTGAGGTTTGTGACAAGCAAAATAGCTGCAAATGGGTCGTCTTGTAGAAACAGTAAACAAAAGTACCTGCTGCAGCCACCTCAGAAGGTCATGCTGAAATAATGAGTGTTAAACTGAAAACTGTCCATGTATTTCATGTAAATCACAAAAGGTTGATGGTTAGCTCCTAGAGCTAGCTATATGCATTAGTGTTGGCCTGAATTTGTACTAGCAATCGAAAGAAGGATGTCTAACGTAGGCAATTATGCTAATATAATTCAATTAAGTATACTTACAGCAGTTAGCCATATTTAGACATTGCCTTTAGGGAATCTTAGTGTGCATCACACGCTGCTCATTACTTATGACTCTGAAAAAAATCCCTGAAAATTAGCAGAGGAATGGCAAAATCACAGAATGTGGCTTTAATGCCATATGAAAATCACTGTTCTCATAACTTAATGGCAGTTGAATGAAATGGTGTCTTAGACCAGATCAACCTCACTCTTAGTACAATTTCTAGCTTGGTCTGTCCCTTCAAGCATGTGGAGTAAGGATGTCTGCCTGGCAAAATGATTTGTAATGGGGATGGCATTGTCTCACAGACACTGTGAAAGTCACCCCAAGAGGCATTGCCCTGCACCTCTAGCCTGATTTATCACTCCCCGATGCTCTTGGCTCTAAACCTCCTCAATTTGAGCTCTCCAATTTTGTTACATTGAGCTGAATTATGGGGTTGTTTTGTGATGAGGACAAATGTCCACTCAAGAGCACCAAACTCATTTTGTGATCTGAACTCTTTCCCCAAGAGGTAATAAAGACA